TACCAGATAACACATTCAATTCTGACACATGTCAACCTATCTATACAAAACCTAAATGTCAGAAGATAAAGAGATCACAGATTCTGACTTGTCAAGAAATGAACCATCCATAACCAAAGCTTGTTCTGATGAACCCAAAATGTTAGAGGATAAAGAAGTCGATGACTTTTTGAATTCAGAAAGTAAAAAGGGGGTTGGTAACATTTAAGCTCAAGACCTATTTTCAGTTAATACATCCAAGTTATCAGATGATCTTATTATCAAGTTGGATAAAAAGATAATTACCGAACAGAAGTTAAAACAATAACTGTCAATGTTTATATCTATTCCTATATCTAAAGATCAAAACTCATATTCAGTTATCTGATTTCAAAGTGAAAGATGTATTTGTCAATAATATCTCTTCAGAAACTAAAATCTTATTTGCACTTCAGATAAGTATACAAATTCATGATTTGAATATTTATATAATAAGATATTGTGGCCATATTTAGATCTATATAAAGAATTTAGCAGTAAAAATTTGATTATTATAGAATTATTGAGAGATCATTATGTTTAGTAAATATACAAAGTTATAAAAAAAGAAAAATATAAAAAGTAAATACAAAGCTGATTTTTATTTTGTTAAATATGAAAAATATTAAATCAAGACAATAATATAAATAATCCAGATGTAAATTCTTTAATCTCAAATGTTATAAATTAGTTAATATTTATTTTTTAATTGTAATTCTTTTTTTTTCTCAAGTTAAAAAAAAATATTTTTATTATAAACAGGTATTAAAAATAAGACTTTGTTTAAATAAAATATTTACTGTTATTATATTAACAATTTTTATAATATAAATTTATTGTTTCAAATTGCAATAAATCTATTAATACCAAATATTATAACAAAAGATGTCTCATATCAATAGTGCTCAACAGCCAATGTCTATTTATAATAATAAAATTACTATTAGAGTAAATGTATTTTTTTTTATTATAAACAAGCATCAAATGAGAAACTTTATTAAATAAGAATATTTAATGTTATTATATTAAAAATATTTACAAAATAAATTAATTGTAGCTTATCACAACAATTTTATTGAAACCAAATATCACTTCAGAAGTGGGCTTACATCAATAGTACTAAATAACCAATGCCTGTTCAAAACAATACTACCATTGCTGAAGTAATAATTGATTTGTTAGTAAAATTAAGCAAAGTATTTAATATATTTAAAATTTTGTTAAATGTCATATATTATTTATATCTATATTTAATAACTTGGCAGAGTG